TATTGGGGATAGATCCAATGAAACAACTCCTTCAAATAAGTATATGAAACTCAATCCTAGCCATTGATTTTGTCAAGATCAATGACTCGTATTGATCAATTCAAATATAAATTAATAAAATAATAAAAGTAATTATTATTAAATTTAAATTACTTAAATAATAATAAATAATATTTTCTTAAAATTATTTACATAATAATTAATTATGTTGACTGGTTGTTGACCACCGGCAGCCAGGATTTGACTGCCATTGACCGCCGACCGGCAATCTTTGACTGGTCAACAGCTCGCCGGAATTAGATTTCGCCAGTGTAATTAAATTTTGCCGTCGAAGACCTCCGACAGCCTATGACGAGCCCACTGTCGGAGAAGAACCAAGCTCCGAAGGTAGCCGGCCTCCACAACCTCTTCAAGACTCAATCTCGACTTTCTCCGGAAAAGGTTGTGCACAAGGTGCTGGCCGGACGTGGTTGTTGTTCGCCTGTTTTCTGTTCACGGGAACGGTTGCGCGGACGTGGTTGAGCCTTCGACGGAGGCATGCTGCTGCTGCTGCTGGTGGTCGTCGTTCGTTTGTGTACACCAGATCTCGTTCGTCGTCTTGTTCATCTACCTCAGATCATTCGTCGTCGTCGCTGTCACCTCGTGTCGTCGTCGCCTCCGGGATTGAAGAATAGGGTTTGGCAGAATTTTTCAGATTTTATGGCAGGGACTAAGTTTTGTAAATTAGATAACTTGTGGGGTTTAGGTGAAATTTTATAAACGTAAGTGTTATTGCAATTAGATCCTTGAGTTGAATTTGTAATTTCTTTATAGTTTGAATAATTATAATATGGCCCTAGAGTTTCTATATTATATACTTCATGCACATTTAGTTTATTTCTTATGCATATTTGGATAATATATAATGGATATTTTAATTATAAATGATGCATACGTAATTGAGATTAACAAAATTCATATTTATTTCATAATGCATATTAGTTCATTCACGATGCATATTTAGTGGATAAGAAATACATATTTAGTTCATCCATAATTCTTGTTTGTTATATTTAAATTAAATATATACATGATGCATATTTAATTCATTCATGATGCATATTTAGTTCATACGACATGTATATTTAGTTCATCCATAATGCATATTTGTTTTATTTAAATTAAATATATAATCATGCATATTTAGTTCATCCATAGTGCATAATTGTTAGGTTTAAATTAAATATGTAACGATGCATATTTAATTCTTTCATGATGCATATTTATTTTATTGATGATGCATATTTAGTTCATACGAAATGTATATTTAGTTCATCCGTAGTGCATTTTTTATTATATTTAAATTAAATATATAATGATGCATATTTAGTTCATTCATGATGTATGTCTAGTTCATTCATGATGCATATTTAGTTAATATGAAATGCATATTTGTTATATTTAAAGTAAACTTATAATCATGCATATTAAGTTAATTCATAATGCATATTTAATTCATACGAAATGCATATTTACATCATCCATAGTGCACATTTTATATTTAAATATAACATATAATGATGCAAATTTAGTTCATTTATGATGCATATTTAGTTAATACGATAGTGCATAAATTGTTAAATATATATATGTGCATATTTAATTCATTCATGATGCATGCTTAGTTCATACGACATGCATATTCAGTTCATAAACAGTGATAGACATTATTGGTGCAAAATTAGT